TCAACTGCTTTTGGCCTTAGGCATGGCGGCTTTGTTGTTGGCGGTCTCACCCTTTGCTAGAGACCAGATTTCCACCTTTTCCACCTGCAGACTCAGACTGTTCAAGCAGGTGGCCATGGCCAACCCTTTCAGGCACCCATCCTACAGCCTGGCTCTGATCGGTTCTCGGACATTACCTCAATGACAGCATTTCACACTGAAGCAATGTTTTGAACTTGCTAACTTACTGTTAGTATTTTTGAGCTTTGAAATGTGGCCCCTATCCTGGCATGTTTCAGGGTATAGATATACAACACGTACGTATGTAAGTGCACACTCACACCCACACATACACCCGCACACACGATGAAGGGACGGGAGAGAAAGAGAGAGAGAGAGAGAGAGAGAGAGAGAGAGAGAGAGAGAGAGGATAGGAGCTCATTCTTGTCTTGACCTGTTGTAACAAACTGCTTGAGGTTCCTTTAATGAGTCTTTACCAATCTAGAGGAAGAAGCATCCCCTCTAAGTATTACATTCCTACAGTCTCCTTCCAGTGCTAGTGGCGGATGTCTACTGGTCCATAGGTTTGGCTGTGAGACCAGGAGGAGCTGCGGTTGTGGTGATGGAGAGTCAGTGAGCCCCAGCAAAGATGAGTGCTTCCGGGGAAGGGTACTCTTTTTCTCCTATTTTAAATGCAGAATTGCAGGTTTAGATAACAGCCCTCCCCAGGGTCTTTCAGCTGTTTTGTGCAAAACCAAGAGTCGTCATGACTGTGCCCTGCCAAAGACTTATTTTACAGCACTTCCTGTTCCTCCCAGAAGGTTGATCATTTCTAGAAGGTTCCACTATCTTTTTTTTTCATGAGGGAATTGATAAGAAAGACCAGTATCAGGCATCAGTGGTTGATTGTAACTGCACACTCAGCAGTTTGGAATAGTATCTCCCTTTCTTTCTTTTATAGTTTTAATTGGCACATGATAATGACATTTCCCCCCTCATTGTTATTTTTCAATGGTCAGCTTCTCATAGACCAAATGGATATATGCAGTCAAGGCTGAGATCTCTGCATCCTTGTGAAGGTCATAGTGGCTGTAAAGGGTCTGACATTGAGGAGCAATAGATCTGTCTGTAGTAAGGAGGAGCCGCTTGTTCGCCCTGGATGCCAGGAACTAACCACACAGGAACTATATTAATTAAAACACTGCTTGGCCCATTAGCTCTAGCTTCTTATTGGCTAACTCTTACATATTAATTTAACCCATTTCGATTAATCTGTGTATCACCACATTGTAGTGGCTTACCAGCAAAGTTTCAGCATGTCTGACTCTAGTGGAGGCTCCATTGCTTCTCCCTGACTCTGCCTTCCTCCTCCCATGCCTTCTTCCTCCCATGCTATAGGTCAAGACAGTTCTTTATTCATTAACCAATAAAAGCAACACACAGACAGAAGGACCTCCCACACCATCTGTCCCCCGAGAGTGGTACAGAAATCTGAAGGTGTGAGCAGTGGGCAGAGTTGAAGTCCAAGAACAGCCATCTTCACAGTGTCCTCGGGGTATTAGGTACTTTCTTCTCCGCTATCATGAAACTCTTGATAAGGGGTGATGGGAGGAGGAAAGGTTTGCTTTCATGGTTTGAGGGGGATACAATTCATCGTGGAGGCAAAGACATGGCTGCCACTGAAGCTCGAGGTGACATTGTGCTCTTGTCATGAAGTAGAGAGAGATGAATGCCGATGCTCTACCGACTTCTCCTTTCTCTTCAGCAAAGGACCCCAGTGCATGGTGCTGCCCTCATTTGGGAAGTCTTCCCTCTCACCATTCCCCTCTGGTGAATGTGCCAAAGATGTGCCTCATTCATGCCCCACGTGTTGCTCATTATAATAACTCAGCAATTGAAATGAGCTGCCACACTCAGACATTACTTAATTTGGTCTTTGTCCCTGGGTTTTGATTCTGGAGCTGTGGTGGAGTGAGCAGAAAACCCTGGATTGTCAGTGTGGCTCCAGCCTTGGGTCTCTTTCTGGCTCTTCCTGGAAGTGAGTGGGGGCTATCGTCTTCATAAAAGTAATCTTTCTGAGTTCCGGTTTAGCCTACAGAGGAGAAAACACCACCCACTTCTTAGTGTTGCTCTGTAGACAAAATATGTTGATGGGAATATGTACTTAGGATGGTCCCCAGCAGGTAAGCTAAAAGGTTCCCTGGACAAGGTTTCCAATCTCTTCTCTTGGGTGTGGACTTACCTGGGCCCGTGGAAGGCTGAGCACTTTGCTGAACCCCTTGATCCCTCTGAGTGCTTTCTGTGAAAGAAAGCTTAGGGCTTCTGCCTCATAGGCCCTGAGGCAGAAGAGAGGAAGAGAGGGGTCTTTAAGAAGCACCCTATAACTAGAACCTTCGACAAGGCCCAAAGAAGAGGAGTCTTTCCTGGTGTGGTTAGAGAAATTGATCCCCAGACATTATTGCCTAAAGATATTAAAGGTGGTTTAAAAGGGAGAAAAAACAACCTGTCTCTCAATGCTTTATAAGAAATTAAATCAGAATGTAGAAAAATCCAATTCGGTTCCATCCAAAACGAGCAGCAATATTAACTCCATTCCTATTTAAAGCCAGGAAGTACAGCTGGGAGAGCAAAAGGGAGGCCTGCCTCCAAGCACAGATTTCAAAACAAACTCATTTGATGGTGGGGCATTTGCATAGCCTGCTTTTCGAGGCAGGGTTTGACCCCAACACAGTGGATTATTACGCTCCCCAGACGCCAGGCATTCCAGAATTGATGGTTCTCAGTCTGAGGTCTGTTTGCCTAATAGGTACACAAGCACGTTTGCCAGGCGAAGTGTGTTTTGGCACAGCACCCCTCTGTCTTAGACAGAAATGGGTCATCTTTATTTGGAGAAGAATAGATACGATAGATGATAGTTGTGGAAGCTTTAGGAAGGCATCAGTAATTGCCACCGCTGGGTGGGTGGCTGCCCTCTTTTTCCTGTATCTTTTCACATTTGCTAATGTGAACGGAGATTGGGGGCCTCCCAACCGAAGCCACGTGTAATGGCCGTGCCATTCGCTTTGAGGCCATTTTGGTATTGCAAGGTACCAAGTAGTACCAGTTTTATCCTGGTATTCTGGTACCAAAGCAAGGTGTCTGGCACGCCAGCGCTGATGATTAGGGGGCTGAGGAGGAGACTCAGTTAGCCTAGAATGCACACGGTCCTGAATTTGCTCAACAGCACCACAGAGACAAGGATTATACACCTAGAGTTCTACCACTCAGGAAGTGGAAACAGGAGGGTCAGGGTGATTGTTCTCAGTTACCTAGACAATTTGAAAGCCCAGTGGGATAGATGAGTCCCCAGAGGGGGGTGGGGCAGGGAGAGTTTGACTAACAAAACTGGCAGTTCCTCCACAGATACTCTTAACAGCATCACGGCCACCCTCAGAGGCAGGCAGACCATCTTCAGTGCTGAGAAGATACAAAGGCAGCGAGTGACAGGGCAACACAAACGAGGTACCATCTCCCCATTATAAGGGGAATTGTCTGCAGCACGAAAGGGCGAGTGGTATTAACCTTAGGACCACAGGATATAGCTCCTGGAGAGCCGCTGGGAAACATAAAACCAATCTCGATTGCCCAGAAACAGAAAGACACTTAATAGAAGTGTAATTGAGAGGTGTACCCCCCCCCACACTTCTAACTTAGATAGTTCCGCTGTGTTGATGGGAATCACTTCACTTGCACTCCCAGGAAGGGCCAGCTGTCCATGGATATGATTATAGGACCATCCAGCGACTGGCTGCTGCCAGAATCAGCCGGGTTTCTTCACTGCCTTCTGAGACCCGCAGTCCCATACCAGGCTTCTCTTGGAGATGGAAATAGTGACCCACAAAGCAGCTGTTTAAAAACACCAGTGTTAATTGGGAGTTAGTGCCCATTAGCAGGACCACAGATTGATTCATCAAATTAGCAATAACCCCTCCAAGAGCAAGGACTTTGGCATCTTACAAAAGTTAAATTGAGAAAGAACTCTGAAAAACATCTGGCCTTGGTCTTCTATTTGAAGAATTATGAGGTCCAGACAGGGTAGAGGACATATAGAAGATCACCAGCAAATCGGTAGCAAAGGAGGGCCAATATCACTCGGTGCCTATTTCCAGAGTATCTATACTATAAACCCTTTGTTTTATGAATAAAGGAAACAAGGTTCACACATGAGAAGACATCCTCTGTGATTCCATCAGCATGCTCGGAGAGCCCAGCCCTTGCTAAGCACTTCAACCACATTAGATACTAGACAGTGAATGGATAAGGAGAGCAAAGAGAGGCTCATGTGCCCCAAATGTGAGGCAAGCATGCAGCGCCTGTCAGAATGATGTCTCCCACACACAAGCCGACATGGAGCACCATTGTTCCAGGGCAAGGCTTCTTCCTGCTTCCTTTCCTTCCTAGGTCTCCAGACTCAGTGGCTGTTCCTTGTGCTCCTTCAGAAGAGAGTAAGCTAGGACCCACTCATAGAGTATTATTGACCCTTTAGTGGCCACAGAGGTAGAGCGGGAGATGCCAAGATGGCAAAACAAGGCTGCGAGTTCCGTTTGTTTGCTTTGATCTGGGACTTCTCAGTCAGGCACCGCAGAACCTGCCTAGCTCTTCCGCACACACTTCTTAAGGCTGAAGGCATCACTTTCAGTGAACAGAGAGAAGGGAATCAGGAATCGAAAGCCAGAAAGTTGCTAAGTACTAGAGGCAGACTCAAATTCAGACGTTACTTGCTCAGATGAGCTGTGCTCACCCACGATGAAGCCCTCTCCCTGTTCCCAGAGCCATGGTAAGCACAACCCCTCAGTGTCCCGGGAGTTTGGGGAACAACATCTGTTCTTTAATTTGGCAGCCTGGAGCATGGTCACTGATAGAAACACACCTTACCTGTTCTGGATGAGAGGAGGCTGTGGAAGAGGCAAAGGCCCGCCCCCTGGAGTGCGGGGTCCATGTTTGGGGAACTGCTTGTCCAATGACCTCCATTGTCATTGCAGGTCTGGAGTGCAGCTTTGACTTTCCCTGTGAGCTTGAGTACTCCCCTCCCCTCCACAACCACGGGAACCAGAGCTGGTCCTGGCGACGTGTGCCCTCTGAGGAGGCCTCGCAGATGAACTTGTTGGATGGGCCAGAGGCAGAACGATCTAAGGAGACGCCCAGAGGTAAGGGGAGAGGGTCCTGGGTGGGCTCGGATGAGGCTCAGATGCCTATTTCCTTGAAATGAAAAGGTTTTCCCAACGCTGCTCTGTCGTTGTCTCCTTGGAAATAGACTTTGATATCTGTACTTCTCCATGACTCCCTGACCCACATATCAGGGAACACGTGAGTCTAATTTTAAGATGAATCTAGCCCTTTACTCTTCCCTAGTAATAGAGTAGGATTCTAGAACTCTTCAACATAGATTTCCCAAGGTGAGACACTGATAACTTGTTGATCTGTTTGTCCATCTGGAATGGGGTTGCCAAGGAAAACCCGAGTCACTCAGTTGATTTGAATTTCTAGAAAAGAAATAAGCACCTTTTTAGTATGTCTCAGGTGATGCTTGGAACATACTTAGACCAAAACCTGTTCCAACCGTATGGAAAACTTCGTGTGTTCTGCATTTTTATTTGTTGAATCTGCCAATCTCAATGGGGAAGGCGCCGTACAACTGGGTTAAGTGTGCGTTCCAGAGTCATTCATGAATATTCAGGCTGCATGCTTGTTTTGTGCGGTGCTTTCAGCGGTCCTGAGCTGTTTATAAATATCGCCTGCCAAATTTTCAGAACCTGAAGATTAGACTCTGAATAGTGGTTCTGGTTGCGTATTTGGAAGAGTTTTTTACAGGGAGATGTGAAAACATTAAGCCACTTCATCCTTCTGGTCTTTCTAGCCAAGCTGAATCAGAAGACTTCGGATTCCTCAGATACAGAAAACTCTGTTGGCCTTTCAATTGGCAGTATGGGTTTCTGGTCTTTAGGAAGAAGTGAAAACTGGGAATGGGTTTACTGGGCATATGTAGGACCTGCCATCCTTCACTGTCCTCTGGGATTCAACATCAGTGAGGGGAAAACCAGGACTCTGAGGAGGGGAATGACTGGACAAAGATCACACACTTTTATGGGCAGGTCTACATGTCTTCCATGAGAATGTCATCAAGTAAGGCTCTCTCCGCCATGTCACGTGTCTGTGTCTGTAGCGAAAGCTATGACTGGAGCCTGTCCTGCACCCCAGTTCCTGATGATGTTGGTCATGGGCTCATACATCTGAGGAGTCTATCAAGGGTGGGGCTTGTTTGAGCTGAAAGGGCGGCATAGCCATCATCAGTGCCCTTGGATTTGTTCTATCCGCCATCCTCAATCCCTGGCATCCCAACAGACCTACTAGTCACGATCCCTTTGTATACACTCTTCCAAACTTCCTTTTCTGCTTTCCTGACTCTCTTGAGTTAGCTTGAGGTGGATTTGTGCTTTAAGCTGCCACCCCCTGGATGAAGATGTCCGGTCTGTGTGAGAGCATGCATAGGTAAATCACTCTTAACCGGGCAGTGCATGGGGGTTCATAAAAGAAATTGCAGAAAGCATTGCTTGAAGATGCCAAGTCAAGAGATCTGAACTGAGGTCTAGCAATTTGAATATTTTATATTATGAAATCTTGCAGGTACAAAAGATAGCTATAAATGTGTGCACAAATTATAGATGATAGTCTAAGCAACACTCAAACTTTTCCCACCAAGCTAAAGCATCTCAATGTTGTCTGCCCTCGCTTCGCCACAAACATCACTCTACGCTTGGAGGTAACTGCTTTTTTGTATTATATGTTAATCATTCATTTGTCTGTCTTTATGGCCTTACCACCTAAGTGTGTGACCCCCACACAAAGAATTTATTAGGTCTTCCACCTTTTAATATAAATAGAATCATTCTATCATCTTGTAACTTGTTGATTCTGATACATGTGGCTTTGGTTTATTGTCTTTGCGGGCTCTTGAATTCATAGCATGAAGGCAACAGTTTCTTTTCTCTCTTCTGTCATTGAATGTTTGGGTTATCTCCAGGTTTTTGCAACTACCAATAACACTACCGTGGGCATTTTTGCAGCTCTCTTGGTGCACTTATTTCCGGCGCCTTGTGTCACACAACTAAGATGAAGTTGCTAGGGTGTACATTAAATGCATCTTCTGTTTGATTCTCTTTAACGTGGAGTCAGCAAGCCCCAGGAAGCCTCCTGTTTGCATCACCAATGCTAGGATTAGAGGGATCTTACTGTACCTGGCTTTTATGTGGGTTCTGGGGATCAAACTGAGGTTCTCATGATTGTGTAGTCACCGCTTTGCCAACTGACCTGTCCCTCTTCCTCAGTGGACTTCCTAAAATATTCTGAGTGTATTTTTTAGGTGGTTCTAAGTCATAACTTCCCTTGTGCACTGTTGACATAGGCCATCTTTTCAGATTGACTCTGATGATTCATAGCCACTACTGTGGTTATCTCTGAATTCTAATATCCAACCTGGCTGGCTAGTTTTATGTCAAACTGACACAGACAAAAGTCTTCTGGGAAGAAGGAACCTAACTGAGAAAATGCCCCCAGCAGATTGGCCTGTGTGCAAACCTGTGGACCATTTTCTTGATTGGTGGTTGAAATAGGAGTGCTTAGCTCTCTGTGTGCCATGCCACCCCTAGGCTGGCAATCCTGGCACGAGAAGAAAGCAAACTGAGCAAACCATGAGGAGCACGCCAGTAGGCAGCATAGCCTTTGCTTCAGCTCCTGCCTTGGGATCTTGCCTTGACTTCCTTTAATGATGAACTGTGAAGCGAACAAAAACCCCTTTCCCGTCCAAATTACTCTTGGTTATTAATTCTTAGCACAGCAATAAAAACCTTAACAAAGACTTCATAAAACCTCTAATTTTTAATCAGTGTGTGTGTGTGTGTGTGTGTGTGTGTGTGTGTGTGTGTCCATTTTTTGAGACAGAGTTTCTCTGTGTAGTCCTAGTTGTACTGGCACTGGCTCTGTAGACCAGGCTGGCCTCAGACTCACAGAGATCCCCCTGCCTCTCAATCCCGAGTGCTGGGATTAAAGGCACACACCACCTGGCTTGCTGCATATATTTCTTAAATAGCTATATTTTAAGAATTGAGTGGGCCAGCACGACGTAGTGAATTGGAGCACACAACGGCTAGCCACTGCATGACTCCCACGGCCTCTGTGATGTCAGGTGGTGTGTAGCTGGAAGTTGGGATCTTTTGCATGTTTTAAACAGTGGCAATAAATTGTGCACTGCTGACCTCTAACCTGCTTCTCCTTCTCTGTCTTCCTCCTTGTGATCTCTGGCCTATGTGAGTCACACGGAAAGCTATGAGAAACCAAGATGTGAGAGGAGAGGAGGGAGAGAAAGCTCTGTAGCGTGACACATAGTAAGTATCTTTATGTTTTTAGGAAGCTTGATTCCCAAAAGTCAGCACATGCAGCCAATGCAAAACTTCTCGCATTAGGCGACTCAGCCAGGCTGGGAATACCCATCTTTAAGTACACATTTATCAACTTCAGTCTCTCTGAAAAGCTGTCATTTGAACGATGTGGCGGTATGCAGCCCCCATAAAGATTGTGATATAAGAGACCACAACAAAAGCCATTGTGTGTGTACCTCTCTGCTTTAGCAAACCCTTTGGTGGTGCAGATGTTCCTGCTATAAGAAATGTACATTCCTCTTCCAGATGAAGGAGTCTGTATTTAACAAGGGTCTCTAAGGAACAGAAATGATGGGATGAGAAAGACAGCGTGTATAAAAAGGGGGATTATTAGAGTCGTTTACAGGTCATGATCTGGGTAGTCTAGCAATGGCTGACACACAAAAGAAAGGCTGGAAATAGGCATTTTGTTCAACACACGATCCTGAATGTCTCAGTGCCCCCAATCTGGTGTTGGAGTCCAGGAGGATTCCTAGAGAGCTACTGGTTTCCAGTCTATTTTGGAATCCTATTGAAATAAGTTCTAATACCAGCTAAGGAAGGCCTCAGCAACTAGAAAAATGAATTTACCAGCAAAAGCAAAGGCAAACAGACATACACACAAAAAAGATTTCTTCTTCTATGTTCTTTTATTTGTACTGCAACCAGGTGGTGTGGCCCAGATTTGGGGTGAGCTTTCTCACCTCAAATGAGTCAGTTGAGAAAATCTCTCCCAGGAGCACCCAGTCCCTTGTGTTTTAGTTCATTACAGATATAGTCAAATTGACGGCCAGGATTAGCACAGTCTACTAAACACAGCGTTGACCCATCATGGAAAACGGGGGAATCAGCCCCCATACATGATGTGGGATTTCTGCTCAGATTTGCAAACCATGGATACCTGCTTACTTTTCAAGGTAATTCACTATATCCTTCCTTACCCCTTGAAGTGAGAGGCTGTTCCTAACGAAGTGGTCTGGTATAATGCCGCCCATGCGCATGCTCGCCAAGGTATAGCAAATGAAAATAGCTTCACCAGTCTGGACCCACAGTGTAGCCCTAATGCTCTGCTTCCCGGATTCTCTGTTCTCCGGCTGTTGGGGGAGCATGTTTGCCCTGTGGGTGAGGAAAAGTAATGGAGTATCCTTTAGGGTTTGATGTTTGATCTTTTTTTTTAACTGAACATTTATTAGTTGGATGGTATTTAGATTATGTTGCAATATTTCTTACCAGGGATAAAGATGGGCCAGCAAAAGGCAGGAAAGTAATAACAATCATAGGTAATGAACTCTAAGATTATAAATTTTGAATGATTTTAATTTATGGTCCCTATAACTGAGAATGATAAGGTAAGACATACAATTTAGAGCAGCAAGATAATAAAAGGGATCATTTTGATAGGACACAATATTTATAAATTAATAAACTCTTGAGGAATCATCAGGTTGGGGCATTCTGTGACTTTTCAAATGCCTCGGGCATGTTTTAATGCATACTACTCCCAGTGTTGCAGAACACATTCAAGGGGCAGATTTTCCTCTCCCAGCAAGACTCCATTTCAGTCTCTTATGAATTCCAGCTTAAAAACGAAAGGCCCCTTATCACAAGTATTCCCTCCCTCGCTCCATGCCTTCTCGCGTTTAAATGAAGAGTGAACTTCAGCACAAGTCTCTTCTGGAGTCCTGCCTCTCCAGTTTTCCCTTTGTTTTCCCTTTGATGGACACTCAGTTGGG